CATGCTCGTCAGAGACTAAAAAGCGTTTCACGGTTTATTGGACGGAAATATAGATACGGTCAAATATTTACGTTTTCTAGCTCCTGATATAAGAGGGTAGAAGGTTATCGTTTTTCGGTACATTCGGAGGTGGACTACGATAGTTTAGATTACACACATCCATTCCCGGGTGTAGAAATGTCACCCCTGAAGGCAAATAGGTAATAAGTTTTGACTGGATTTTCTGGAAATAGTTTCTTTGCTACCTTATGGCGATGAACGTTTGTCTTTCATGGATATATCCCTCTGTGTCTTGCGGTTTCGACAGTTAAACAAAATTTCCTCACTGTGTACAGCTCATAAGTAGTAATACAAATAGTTTGTTTCATTGTGTAATCAAGCGCGCTTTGAATTCAGCTTCCAACGCACCTTATTCTCAGCTACAAACCTGTCAAAAAGATAAATCACCTTTTTTTTCTGGCAAAAAATTGATTTTCTCTACATTGAGAACCTACTGTTAGTTTTCCTTTGATTCAAGTTCAACTTATACAATTAGTCTAATAAACGAAAGTTGTCTGCATGTTGGCGGCTTCTATAAACATTCTCACAGCTTCATATGACAAATGAAGCTAGTGTCTCAAAGATACGGGATACGTCACTTCCTTATAGTTAAGGTTTCATGCGTCTTCTCAAATCACCCTTTTTAGTTTTAAATTCCTTGTTCATCTCAGTCACGGTGGACTCGATCGAAGATCAGACATATAAATCGGGAGTATACAGTAAAACCCTTTGGATTGAAGGGCGGGGCTGAAACTGTAAACGGCCAAAATGACAATTATAAGATCTCTGGTACTTTGAAAGATAAATATCTTGCAGGGGAATACGCTCAAGGCTTTTTTTTTATCGCACCTGTTTCCAAGCACAGCTGAAAAGACTGCTGAACATTGGTTTGCCAGCTCAGTTTCAGGATAGCATATCGGGCCTAAACAACCTATCTCATTTTGCTCGGACTTTTGCGTTCCATCAAGAATGCTTTTAAAATAGCGTAATCGTCAAATAGATGGGGAATTATAAATTGAGCTTTTAAAGTAATTATTTTGACCTAATGCCCGATGTGGCTCACGGTTGTCGTATAGGCACAGCCCATCTTCCACTCAACTTCGTTTGCTAATAATTTCGCTTCAAGATCTATATCGGGATCGGATTCGTCTTCTGAGTTTTGATGACCTTTCTAGACTTAGCTAGCCGAAAACTATGAGCGACCTTCTCAGCTATAACTTCTTAGCCATGCAGAAATAAACTCAACGTGATTTTGGAGACCATATTTGACTTAAAATTCAATTGGTCCTAGACCACAATTAGAGCTAGTTTCTAGCTATTTTCAGTAGTAAGCTTTGGAACATCGTTAATAAGTAACAGGGCGACACATACTTTGACTCACGCCGTTGTAGCATTTTGGACTACGTAACTCTTTCTTGAGAAACAAAATACAACTTTGATTTTTGTCTGCATTTCTGCATGTCTGAATGAATAAATGCTTTTAAACATATGTCTAGGATCAAATCTCTGCCTCTGTTGAGTAGTAATCCTCCTCGCAAACATCCAGTTCGTATTTCTGTCAATCTCAGTCGATTAGATCCGCTTTTAATGACGTAACGAAGTTCAGTCGCCGCATGATGACGACGTTTTGGACGTCTTGTTCGACGTTTTAAAAGTCTTCGATTCGCTGCAGCGTAATATACCATTGACAGCGCTTTCTCCTATTAAGGCGACAGTTCTTGTAGATAATTCTCAGCTATAATTAAAGTAAGATTATTGTGTTTCTGCCAACTCATATCTCCGCCTTTGTTGGAAATAGTTTCCTCCTAGTTGTCTCTTCGTCAGCGTTCGTGTTAGGTCTGCCGCCAAGAAAAAGAAATGCTTAGAGTTCGTCGCTTATGGAACCTGTAGGACATGCTTGCTTCGTTCTTGCAATGCACTCGCACTGCAAGAACTTACCGTGCCTTCATCGAGACCTTGTTGTGCGGCTACATTATAGGTTGAGGAAGGTCTTGCAAAAAAATCATCGTGAATCTTAAAATCTTTTAAACTATTGCAATGCGACATACGCTTGGCTTCAACAACAAAAGGAACACATTTTTTTTCTCTATCGATGAGGGATTCCAACAGTTTTCGCTGCATTCAAAACCAAGTTTAAGTATCACTAACTGAATATGTGTTTTACTAAAGATGTCTGAGCGGGAACAATGTAAAACAACTAGAACAAATAAAGCGTACGTTTTCAAACAAGCTAATGAACAAGGAAGTGTAGTACCCAGGTGACTCAATATGTCATGATAGTTTACCACGTGCTTTGTCTAAAAGATGTAGCAGAGACCGACAAAAAATATCCTATAAGGATCTATAAAATAAAGGTCGATAGAGTAATTTTATATAGAAACAACTAAAAAAAGAAGTGACCACGTGTCTTTCTATAATGTCCGGTAACTCTGTATAAGTAAGACACATTATTACTAAACTGTGTACCATTTGCAAATAAAAACCGTTAGCTCTCTCACGTAAAGTAAGTTCACTGTGTGTAGTAGGAAACTGACTGATCAAAGAGGAAAAATACAACAGACTCATGTGTATAATCACTCAGATAAACACACTTCCAGCTTCCTGGCCAGTATTAACGAACGTATTTAATCGAAAGTGGTTATAACTTCAGATATATACTTGTATATGCGGCTTAAATCTAGAGTAACAATATATCTTACTGCAAAAAATGTGACCATAGTAAATATGGTATGCGACTTAGCTATACACTTTCTACTTTGTGTCTTTTTTTGCCAGCTCATTCCGATTTTATTCTTTGCGATAGAAAAGCTGTTCTCTGCGACGACCTCGATGAGCTTCTACAAATCGGTCATCCTAGTAATCTCATACGGCAATGACCTGATCGTATCTGCTTTCGACCCGGTTTCAGCGAAACTTCCGTATTAGGAGCAAAGGGTTCATATCCGGAGAGTTTCTCTGTACTGTTAGACTCTTGCAGTTAACTGATAAGCCCACTGATCCGAACAAAAGCGCTATTATTTGCTTTGTCTTCACGGAAGATGAGAACAGGGTGACTAACATAGACTTCATCGCTAGAATCAGGTTATCTGATTTTTCACTTCGACGTAATGATTCATAGGTCCTGCTCGTGCCTGTAAACTGTAAAAGCTGTGAATCGTATAGACTACCACGGACTTTCCTTCTGAGTGTAGACTTCTCATTAAAATGTCACGTACATTTGGATATTTGCTTCCACTTCATGAACGTCCGCGTCGGCCCCCTTTGATTTGAAGGTCTATTACCCATGTACCGGCGCGGTTCAAAGCTAAGGACATGTAAGGATGAAAGTTTGAGGAGAACTTAATTGTGGTCACTTCGATACGAACTAGCGTCTTACTATTCAAACGCAGCGACTTTACGAAGGTGTGACGGTCAACTGGTTGCCGAGGATCTTGGCAACGATAACATGCTATCAACCTGTCTTGAAAAAGTTCCTAAGGTCTTTTACTGTTCGCTCGTTCAAATCGATGCTCAGCTACACGCTATGACATAGACCTCTGACGTAGTAATTGCTACACAACATGGAAGTAAGCGCAGCTGCAGCCTTACCGCAGGTCACGTCCCAACGATCTTCTTCAAAGGGACCTCTGATTCCTCAACGAACTTCTATCGATGACTTTCACTTGCTGCTTTTTACATGAAGTAGTCCCCTAACAACACGGAGTTGGTTGTGGTAGCTAGTCGTTAAGCACATTGCGTTCATTGGTTGAAAATTATGGATCAGTTGCTAAAGATGGTATACCATGCCTTGTAGTAGAACAGATGACAGCATATGTGCAAGGCTCTCTTCTCATACGGTCTGTCCGACCTTTAACAGCATATAAAACTCAATTCACGTGCAACTTCTTCAATATGTCACGGAAGGCCCTTGCGACATCTCTTTGTAGAAAACGTCTTTTTTTTTTTGGTCATTTCTTTCATGCGTTCTGGATCAAACAATAATTGTATGTTGCTTTTACCCTACAAGCCCCAGCTACGTTGTCAAGATCGGTAGCTCATTCTCTGAATGAGCCAATATCCCTCTGGCGTTCCTCATGGATCATGTAAGCAATTTTTGTTTAGGGCAGAGATGTGCCTTTTTAAGTGTCAATTACTGGTTACCTGCAAAATGTACATTGATGAACTCTATATCTTTGCTAAAATCCAAAATATTATAGATACCTAGCGCGTTTAAAGGACAGTTGATGATATTGACTCTTGTATGCAATACTGATAGGGTGAAAATGTAAGTCCTAAGGAGAGCATATGTTAAATGATTGCCTTGTAATACCGTGTACCGCCTAGGTCAACAAGCGGTCGCTAAGGTGACTTTCGTGCTCACATTGCTGACGTGGCCAAGGCGGCCTCTAGCATAGGTAAGCTGAAAGGTATCTGTTTCGGTAGATACCTGAGATAATTCAAACATATGAAGTGCTAATTATACCTAAGAGGCATACGCATGGGCCATATTTTGTCAGACAGATGATTTCATCTCTGGGTCTAAAAAAGAGCCTGTCGTCAATGCAATATATTTTGTCAGCACAGTACAGATATTCACGTTTTTACTAATAAGTTAAGTCGGTATGATAAACTTTGTGATTTTTACATCGTTAGAGTGGCTCATTCGGTGAACGGCCTTAAGTCTAGTCCCGTTCAAGGTTGCAATCACTGGTATTGCCAATCACGCGTTTGTCGGAGGCACAAGTTTTCTGTATCGCTTTTGTTCTTGCTATATTCTGAAATACTATATAGCTCCAATGTCAGATAATTAAGCTTGCTCTGAAACCATTTCTACAAGTATTCCTACCTTAAACAAAGACCTTTCGAAGTAAAAATAGTCCATTCATTTAGCACAAGCTATATCTATAAAAATAACAATGTTTATAATCGAGTACTTATAAAGGTGGCAATATCGATAGATTATAGGACGTTGGCGAGCGATTGGCTAGGGACAATCATGACGATAGTTTATTGTGGTCAGTGGTACTATACTCTTTTCACAGACTTCGGGCTAGCAATGTAAGAACCACGCTTACGTTTATAGCCTCGCACATTAACAACTCTACGCCCTATGGCTCACAGTGGGATGTAAACGGAATTACTTTTGCCATAAAGCTCGACTCTACCGTGAGACTAATTTACCTTCCTTCGAAAAATGAACAGAAACTCAACCACTGACGTAGAATCAAGGCGATGCCTATCGTTACTATATATAGATTACTTATGATTTGCTGCTTATTGGTGACAGGAGATCGCCACTAGCCAATAGGGCCCCCTTTTCAATTGTTGCATCGTATGTCGCTAACTTTTACCTACAAAGTACATACGAATCTCAAAATGTTACAAACACGAAATTTGAAAATGCTATACGAACCAGCCTATAAGAAAGCAGTGAGTCTCAATATTAAATATGTCGAAGTACCCAAACTCGTGTTTCAAATGGACCACTTGATAGATAGGCAAGGGATTAAGCTGCCCCTAGCTATGTAGTATATGCGGTCACTAAGCGCCACGGTACCTGAAAAAACATTTGGTGATATTGAAGCGGGAATGGTGATTTGCTAACAACTATTTAGCAATAAGTAGGTTACAGTTCCCAGTTGAGTGGGCTTGGTTCAGAAGAGCCGATAACGACGATGACGTCTCGAACCCAGTTTTCAGGTAAAGTTCAGTAGTAATTTTAAGGTATTTTCAGTTTTCTGCATTAGTCCATCGTGAGGTATCGTTATACGCTCGTGATTTCTATTGCACACCATATTTGTGGTATTACGTATTTTTCGTTGCCATTGCTTTACCGTTAATCGTGCCATAATTTATAAAAGCGAAATAACCTATATAGAAGGCTGAACTTTCTTAATAATAATGTTTCAAATTCATTCAAAATATAAAAAACTATTAACGTAACGCCTTAGAGCATTTCGAAGCAAATCTCGATCGTTGCAGGATAGAGGATGCGTTTTTACAAAGCCTTTTAATGAGTACATTACAACGCAGAGGCGGTAGCTTGTGTGTAACGTAACAGTAGCTACTAGCATTTGCATATCGGCGCGTTCTGTTATTACATCAGAAAGCTCTAACCGCTGCTGAGTTATTGGGAATAGTCCGTCTAGATCAATTCAGTATCACATATAATCTCACTGCTTATCAAAACCAAATGACATAATTTTCTCGTGCCTGGTTAGCATACAACGATGTTCGACACCGCAAGAATGATGACCTCTTTCTACAGATTCAACGAATACATCAACATGATATTTTGTCCCGTTCCACGTCTTTAATAAAATGTGAGAAACGTTTCCGTGTGAGAAACGTTTCCGCGATATCTGTATCCGCGGTATGTGTGCATGACACGTATTTTGGTAACTTCCACATAAAGTTGATGCCAAATCAACTCCCTCAGGATGCTTTTACAGTTTCTTTTCTATATGTTTCGTATGATATTTATAGACTACTGCAAACCCTTGTGCGTGTTAGAGAAAGGCTGAAGAACCGACCTGCGAGCTAAATCCACGTCTCCCGGTTTGTCGACAATGACCTATCAGGAACGAGGTGCGGTTCCAAACAGTAAAAAAAGCCATGTTCGTTATAACGCTGCACATATAAGTCTCGGCTTTTACGAGGACAAGATATACATCTTATACTATAATTATATGTATTAGCAATTTAAACGCTTAAGCTTTCATGACAATAGCAAGGCAACACATCCGTATATCTATGACTGAATCTATGTGGGCATATAACACACGGAATCATCTGTAACCGCCATTGTAAAATGTTGTACATTTCAATTTTAACCTGTTACACGATCCAGCAGTTTTCGAGAGGAAAATTCATCTGAATGCATACATGGTGGTAATTTCTCAGGACACAAGCAGCTCTTCCAAAAAAAGTTGTTGTAGATAAAAGAAGTTTATCTTCACATTCTTGTAAATCGTTCTATGGCGCATCCTTTAGGCTATGGTTAGGACAATAGCCATAAGCGCGCTGTCAACACTGTTCGATACTTAATGCGTTATAGAGCAAAAAGCTTGGGCGCCCTGTTCGGTTTAAACCTTCTATAATGTAATTTTTTGGTAAACTTATAATGCAATCGAATGCCCCAAGTCTAAGTCATAAACGGTATAATAACTATGACGCCTGTCTTATACAGTCCGTGCCGGTTCGGGGGGACGTTGAGTGCCGTGATCCGGCCTCTGAAAGCTGGCGCACTTTTTCAAGGGCTTCTGCGCCGTCGTGATAGACAATGCCACTTGTTTCACATCGCAGAAAATACTGGACAGCGGGAAAATCGCATTGGACACATTGAGACGGCTGTCGGACACCTATGACCCAACTGGTTGGTATGATTCGAACGTCATGGAAAGCCTAGAGGAGGAAGGATATAATTCGCTTTAGAACCCACTTGCGTGGGTTACGTTTCTGATCAAAATATCCACAAACGAGAAGCTGGGAAAGACGCCGTTCGAGTTGTTTCCCGGTTATCGGGCTATCTTCACCGGAGAGTCGGCTGTCGGAATGTCGCGCAAGATGTCGCGGGAACGCACACTAAGCGCTCTACAATCGACAAATGGTACGTGAAAGCACCGTTTAAATGGGAAAAGTCTGCTCCACAAAGTTCAAGAACGGCACGAAGGTACTTGTGAAAGTCAGATGAACTGATCGAGAACGACACCTGATCACGAACGGAAAGTATATACCGCCTTAACTTAAAAAAAAAAACCACCTCAGTGTCGCGGCCGGACGTCGCCTGCAAACGTTAACTCTGTCATCATTTCTAAATGAATGCGGCCTTTTATACCTGCGGTTACTATGTGGCGTTTCCAATTCCGATATGGCTGAACCAATTCGTTCTCTCTTTGTCAAGATGTCAATGAAAGTTTCATCTTTATGTGTGGTATGTAAAGCATCTGGGCGTAACTAAGAACATTGGATCGTATTTGATTTGTCTACGCATAGGGTCCGATCTCGTTACTATTTGAAATCTCTGTGTGTATAGTAGTAGTAAAAACTTTTCTGTGTTTATCAGGTGTGTAAATGGCTTTATATTGTTAAGGTTATGGTGTATTCCATTTGATAAGTATTCTGTTTCTCTTGTGCCCGTTTAGTCTTCCATATCACTAACGCTTGTCGATAATTTTAATTCCAAGGTAAACTTTACATTTTAATATTGCAACCCGAAAAAAGTCGCTAAAACAATTTAATACCTGGTAATAAAAAAAAATAACAATAAATATACCGTTAACGTTATTTTCTATCTATTACTTTGCGACAAACCTTACACTCGTCACTCGCATAGAGCAATAGCGTATACGAACAATCAGGCATAATTGATTACCTACAATTATGTCCATTCCGACGACGTCCTACCTTTATGTATAGTTACGGCACGACGCTAAGTTTGGCGTAATAGCGGATAATTCATAGAATAATTAAGGTATAGTCCATTATTTACCGGCAGGTGTGCCTAATCAAGGTTTTATTCGAGTAATAAGTCACACACAAATACGACAATCAATAAAATCCTGCTCAAAAAACGCATTGTACCGCGGAGAGGGATGTCCTAAACGGGACACGTTTCAGATAAATGTCTGTTATGTTATGCTCGTTTTACCACCTTGAGAAATACTGTCAAGTTAAGAGAAAGATGGCGCTGCCTTCGAGCATCTGCTTGGTAACCTAACCTAACCGAGACATAACTTCATAGGTTATCGACATACGGTTACTTCTACTACAGGTAAATTATCTCATTATACTCCATTTTCAACAAGGAGTTATGTTTCATTGGGTATGCTGTGAAGACGCTGCCGGAAAGGCTTGTGTTCAACTGGAAAACTCATCTCAACTGTCTCTTTAGGCGTTATTGTGATTTTTCTTTAATCATTATTACGGATCTCTATCTTATTGTGTAATGTTTTGTCGCCCACCGACAGCGTTATTTCGGTCACTGGACTCTACGCCTTAATTTTGTAAGAAACCAAACTATGCCTATAATATTAATATTAAGTATTTTGTAGCTTCAGTTCTGCCCAGTCCATAGAATCAGAGCTTCGTTAAGGCCTGCGGGTTTGAGATGAGTACCCAAATGCTCTCACATAGACTCATAGTTACCAATGGGTTATGTGACTTATTGATCATTTCTTTTCATTCAGCTTCCTTTCTCTGTCAGGACGGAAGGAAATCTGTCCTGTTCAAGGACCACTAGTTAGCCCTTGCGTTTCCTTTTTGCTGTTTACGGAAGATTCTGAAACTGCGAATTCCAATTGCTCTTTGATTTTTTTAACATCCTCACAACAAATTGGCCGTAATAAAACCTTTTTCAAAAGTCTCTTGTAAACTGGCATAGTTTAGAGGTTTCGGTTGTTGATTCCATGTATTCTAATTAGGGTGTTGTTTTGCCCCCTGACGTTTAAATGGCTGTCATTATTCTACTTTATCTAAGAGTGTTGCGGCAGGAAGCATTAGGGTATGGGGTTGTCTGGCTCTCTGATTATGACCTATGTTGGTTATTTTAAATTTAACATTTCCTCTTTGTGACATAATTAGATCGCCGTCAAAATAAATTATATAGATACTCCGTTGTGGTCATGGTTGATATACATCAGACGTAGAACGGCCCAATCGGGTGAGAGAGTCATTGTTAAACACAGATGACGCTTTACAGTCGCTGGAAATTTTCAGGTCTTTAGCTAGCTTGTTTCGGGCAAGGTCAACACGTAAAGTACTCGGACCCATGGATTGGTAGGACGCTAGCCAAAGATTTGAAGTGCGGCTTTATTCTATTCAGTGCAACACAAAAAAACTTAAAACTACACGTGGCTATCCAATGAGGTTTATTTATTCCACATCAGATACAAGCAAACATCTATTATTAACTAGCTCAGATATTCATTCACTCAATTGCTCCTTCTCCGCCCTCTCGACCCGCCTCTGAATAGGTCGCCAGCGCGGTTTTAGTATTATTAAACAATACCACTAAGTTCAAAATGAACTTGATAAAGCACCCAGCCTAAAATCTCTAACATAAGTAGGAATGGACGTATGCGCAAATATACACGTACAAAATAACGCTGTACAATAGCTTAGTTTTACAAATTGAAATCAGGTGACTTATTGATTTTTCTTATCTAGTAACTGCACGCCATAAATACTATGGTAACATCTTTAGTTATTGATTTAAAAAAGTGCGGGTCACAAAATGATATACATTGAAGTTATATGACGAATTAGTGAACTACTTTAATCTACTACGTTAATCGTCGCCGCTTGACTTCATGGCTTTTGCATCTGATTGAGGTACAGTTAACGCCCAACCGGCTCCGGAAGCATCAAGCATTCGTAGTAGGTCAAGCCTCTATGTCCGCTGTGGTTTACAGGGTCGCTTCCAAACTAAGGATCCCAACACTAATAGCAGCCACATTCGAGGGATTCGCGTGGTACAGAACGAAAACCTCTTACCGGATGCAAAACTCCTGAAGGTGTCCACGATAGATCTAAAAGGTCTTGACGTAACTGGTATCAGGAAAATATAAGGGGCTGTTCCTGTTCATAATCTTCAGAGCTGACTCCGGAACAGATGTTTTTAGGAACGTATTCGTTAATAGTTCCAGTGCGGAGTAAGAGGGAACATCGTGCTGATGCAGACCATGCGCGTATAGGCTCAAACTACAATCATGTTCTACTGCCTCAGAAGTATAAGTGGATACGCAGGCCTTCGAAAAACTGTGCACGGGATACTAAAGCGCTCCCACATCCGCTTTTGCCGCGGAAGGGGGAACGCTGAACCATGTGTGTGTACTGGGCGCTTATTGCAATTTGTATGGCCATTAGAGCCGCTACGCACAAATCAGTTATTGGATTTCGCTTCTTTCCGTCTATAGAGAGGCATAGACGATTCGAGATTTAATGTAGCAATTATCGCTAACCTCGATTATTCGATAACAGCGAGGGGTTACTTTCAAGTGAATTTAGATGATTTTCGTGCTTCTGTAATTGTCCATAATGGGATCAAAAGAAGACTTTTCAACAGCCAGGCTCACACACAAGAACAGCGATCGCGAGAAGAACTCACTCAGTAGGGCGCGGATATCGGCGTGTTCACAGAGATGAAGAGTACATCACCTCTGCAATTAAGAAGAATCGAAAACAATACACTACGCCGAAGTAAAAAAAAAGAAGACCGACTTTCAGTTTTTAATAATGGCATCAGAGTGGCCATTCCATTGGGACCCTTCAGCAAATTGAGTGGTTTGTAAAGCAGCAAAAAAACTTAACGTAACTATACATAATTGAACGGGCCAAACAAGTGCAAAGTTTGACAACTGAAGATTGGAAAAGGGTCTTTTTTTCAAATAATTTTGAGACTTTGTATAGCAGCTCTTATGCGTTCACAGACGCCCTGGCGAAAGGTTCTACGAATCGAAGTCAAATTTCAGTATAGGAATTCCACATTTCGTCATCGAGGTTACAAAAAAGAAACGACAAAAGAAGAAGGAAGAAAAATGGTATCCCAAGTACGAAAATGGGCTCCGGAGGGGAACGATTTGTTCCTATATGACAAATGACCATGTTATGCGGCATTGTGCCTTCGAAGTATTTATTGCTAATGTTGTTGAGCTTTTGCCATCACCTGGAACATTATCCAACTTCAATCCGATCCAAGATATTATAAAACAGTGTGACATTATGTCTAAGAGCCGCACAAGAAATCACGAACATGACACAACCAAAGAATACAGAACTTTTACTATGGCATCAGGAGGTACCTTCCTTTCAACGCAGTCCAAATATTCTTGTTTTTATATATATATAGGGCTGTTCGCCGTAACAGGTGTTGTCTATTTATTTGTTTGCTACCCTCGGTAGTAAAAAGAGCCCCTTTCTGCTAGATCAAAAACATAAATCTATCACGGTCAAAGCGTCAGAATATGAGCGAAAATGGGTCGTTGTTAAAAGTGTTCACGCTAGGGCGAATCACATTGAGATCACAAATTTTGTTGCCTGACACAGATTGTTTATATTGCTGCCAGTTTCTATAGTCCTTCGATAAAAATATATACGCGCAAGGCAAGCCACTAGATTTTCCATAGGCTTTTAAGGGCCAAAAAAGCAATTAAAGTGGCGCAAGAAACCATTTTTGGTAATCTTGAGAGACACATAAGAGACGACCAGTGAGTGCTTACGTCCCGAATTGATGCGGTAATCGAGGTGAACGAAAATTATGTACAATAAATAAAACCGTTAGAACTGATGTTGAGAAAAAAAATGTTAGAATAGCTGTATTTATTTGGAACTTGAAAATAAGTGGTAAGAAACGTTACGAATTTTGTCGGAATGCCCTGTAGGTATATATATATATATATATATATATATTGCAACAATGATGAGTTCCAACTTCGCGGCTGTCGAATGGCTGACCGTTAGGTGGGTATATATTTTATTCCGCCGGAAACCTATTTGTTAAAAATTACATAAGTTACATGTTTCACTCGTTCATACAATATCTCCACCCCGTGCCAAATCATTTTGGGTATTCCGTAAATTGGCGGTAACAAGCTATTGCCGTGGCCCGCATAATTGATACGTGTATCACGCAACAAGCTCCTCGACACTCCATTGTGGCTCAGACCTGAGCGGCAACTTCTGTGACGGGCAGGCATGCTAGCGCTTAGAGGTCGTACAAAACCGGACTCTCAGGGCGGAGCGCCCAGTGTAGCGAGGATATTGTGTCCTCAAAGATGTACGTTCGTTAGCAAAGTTAGACATAGTTTTCTGTCCAGAGCTTGGATACCTAACGACCGAACTCTTGGGCTCACCGCGGTTCCGTCGATTCCTCTGGTAACACGATCTTTAACGCATCAACGTAATTCGAACGACGTTACGCTTAGGGCCTTCCTAACGGTATTTTCGCAGTGAAGGTGACCGCCGGAAGCATTGCGTGGGTGGAGGGATTTATATAGTGGTGTTATATAGCGTTTTTGTTTAAATAAGTCCCAATTATCCGCTTCGACGCCGACTTTTAGCTCGCATTATACTAGAACTGGGCCAGGCCATATAGATGTGACGTGTGAGGTCTGCGGTGGTCCAGCTTTGATAAAGAGGTCTTT